AGGAATAAATACTAAAATATTCAGAAGCTTAGTATTATGGTTTGGATGTGAAGTATCCCCCAGAGGCTCATGTGTGAAACAATTCGAGAAGGTTCAGAGGAGATAGGATTGAGTTKTAAGAGTATTAAACCAATCAGTGAATCCTGACAGGGATTAACAGAGTGGTAATTAAAGGCTGGTAGGGTGTGGCTAGAGGAGGTGGGAATTGGGGGTGTGGCTCTGGGGTATATATTTTATTTCTGGGAGAGGAGTCTCTCTCTTCCCCTCCTGTTCACCATGTGAGCTGCCTCCCTCTGCCACACTCTTCCACCATGATGTTCTGCCTCACCTCAAGCCCCAAGGAATGGAGCCAGCCTTCTATGGACTAAGACCTCTGAAACTATGAGCTTTTTTTTTTTTACGTTGTTGATGGACCTTTATTTTATTCATTTATACATGGTGCTGAGAATCGAACTCAGTGCCTCACACATGCCAGGCAAGTGCGCTACCGCTGAGCCACAGCCCCCGCCCCGAAACTATGAGCTTTTAAATAAACTTTCCTCCCCTAAATTGTTCTGATTGGGTCCTTTGAGTCTAAAACATTTAGACTTCTATCAGAAAGACTAAAGGGCTGGATGCAGTAGCAATGGCCTGTAATCCCAGCAGCTCAGGAGGCTGACACAGAAGAATCATGAGTTCAAACCCAGCCTCAGCAACAGTGAGGTACTAAGTAACTCAGTGAGACTCTGTCTCTAAATAAAATACAAAACAGGGCTGGGGACATGGCTCAGTGGTCAAGTACCCTTGAGCTCAATCCCTGATAACAACAAAAAAGAAAGACTAGTAGGAGTGTTGAAGATTTATCTAAGTGGTAGAGAACTTGCCTATCATGTACAAAGTCCTGAGTTCAATCCCCAGTACCACAAAAACAAAAAGACAAAAAGGCTAGCGGGATAACAAATAAGTCACTGATTATTGAAGAACTGATTCTCCAGTTTATTTGATCAATTTCAAACTTCGTATTTTCCTTTGTATACAATTTTATGCATTTTGTTACCTATTAGTGTCCCTGGAATAGAGGAAAAATAGAAAAAAAGAAAACAGCTAAGATTCAAAACAATCTGTTTCTTGTCATCTATCTTTTMCAACTGAATGAGAAAAGTCCTAAATTTAAATTTAGGACTAGAATTCTATTCTTCCTCTTCCCACATTAATGTAGAAAACTAAAACTAACCAACTACATATCTGAAAACTCTTACAGATGCATCTCAAACTATTATCAGGTGACCCTCTGGGGAAAGACAGTGTCATCCTGGRGAAGAGCGTTAGCACTTTTTTTAATATTTGATTTCTTTATAACAAGCTTATATTACTCGTATACTTTTACTAGAAAAAAAAGAACTCTGGGAAGGATATATCTAACAGAATCCACTATGCRTATTTATCTGCCACCTCTCTATCCTTCCTTCCTATCATGGTTTTCAAAAATATTTCAAAGGTCCAGTTCAATTACCTACTTCTTTTATGTAGCTATAGTTTGTGGGGAGCCACACTGAGTTACCACACCTTCCGGTCCTCATGCACCAYAGGGATCTGAAAGATCACTGTAATCTGGTGTGATAGTGCCATGACTCCTGACTCGGTCTTTTCCCCTGCTGGATAGCAAGGCCAGTTTCACGAGTAGGCATACCCCTGGGGTTGAGCTACACTCACCTATT